CGGCGTCGGCGTCGTCTGCGTCGTCGCTGTCGTCTACGCTGTCGCTGCCGTCGTCGTCGTCGTCGTCGTCGTCGTCGTCTTCTTCGTCGCTGTCATTGCCGTCGTCGTCGTCGTCGTCGCCGCCGCCGCCTTCGTCGTCGTCGTCGTCGCTGTCGGTGTCGTCGTCGTCGTCGGCGCTGCCGCCGCCTTCGTCGTCGTCTTCGTCGTCGTCGTCGGCGTCGGCGACGGCGTCGTCTCTGTTCTGGTCGTCGTCGTTCGCGTCGTCGTCGTCGTCTTCGTCGACGCCGCTGCCGCCGCCGCCGCCGCCGCCGCCGTCGTCGTCGTCGTCGTCGTCGTCGTCGTCGTCGTCGTCGTCGTCGTCGTCGTCGTCGTCGGCGTCGGGGTCGGCGTCGGCGTTAACACTAATGTCAGCGTCGGCATCGGCGTCGTGGTCGGCGTCGTTTTCGTCCCGTAGTCGTTGTTGTCGGCGGCGTCGCCGGTGCCGCCGCCTTTATCGTTGTTTGTCGTCGTCGTCCTCGGCGTCGGCGTCGGCGTCGGCGTCGACGCCGGCGTCGGCGTCGTTTTTGTTATCGCCGTCGTCGTCGTCGTCTTCCGTCGTCGTCGTCAGTCTCTCGTCGTCGTCCGTCGTCGCCGTGGTCGGCGTGGCGTCGTCGTCCGCTGTCGTCGTCGTCCCGTCGTCGTCGTCGCGTCGTCGTTGTCGTCGTCGTGTGGTGTTTGTGGACGTCTCGTCGTCGTCGTCGTCGTCGTCGTCGGCGTCTTCCGTCGTCGTCGTCGTTGTCGTCGTCGTCGTCGTCGTCGTCGTCGTCGTCGTCGTTGGCGTCGGCGTCGGCGTCGGCGTCGTCGTCGTCGTCGTCGTCGTTCGCGTCGGCGTTTTCGTCGTCGTCGGCGTCGGCGTCGTCGTCCTCGCTGGCTCCGTGGTCGTCGTCGTCGTTGTCGTCGACGTTGGCTTCGTCGTGGTCGTCGTCGTCGCCGTCGTCGTCGTCGTTGTCGTCGCTGTCGTCGTCGTCGTCGTCGTCGTCGTCGTCGTCGTCGTTGGCGTCGTGGTGGTGTTCGTCGTCGTCGTTGTCGTCGTCGTCGTCGTCGTCGTCGTCGTCGTTGGCGTCGGCGATGGCTCCCGGGCGTCGTTCTCAATCGTCGTCGTCGTTGTCGTCGTCGTCGCGTTGGCGTGCCGGTGTCGGCGTCCGGCGTCCGCTCGGCGTCGGCTCTTGGTCGCTGTACAGTCCCGCCGCCTTCGTCGTCGTGGTCGCGTCTCGTCGTTGGCGTTGTTTGGTACCGGCGCCGTCGCCGTCGTCGTCGTCGTCCGTCGTCGTCGTCGGTCGTCGTCGACGTCGTCGCTGTCGTCCGCGTCGTCGTCGATCGTCGTCGTCGCGTGGCGTCGTCCAGTGGGTGGTGTTCGTCGTCGTCGTCGCGTCTCCGTCGTCGGCCGTCGTCATCGTCGTCGCGTCGGCGTCGAGTCGGCGTCGCGTCGGCGTCGGCTGCGCTCCGAGGTCGTTCTCTCGCGTCGTCGTCGTCGTCAGCGTCGACGTCGTCGTCGTCGTCGTCGTCGTCGTCGGCGTCGAGTCGGCGTCGGCGTCGGCGTCGCCGCTGCTGCCGTCGCCGTCGCCGCCGTCGCCGTCGTCGTTGTCGTCGTCATCGTCGTCGTCGTCGCCGTCGCCGTCGTCGTCGTCGTCGTCTTCGTCGTCGTCGTTGTCGTCGCTGTCGTCGCCGTCGTCGTCGTCGGCGTCGTCGTGGTTGTGTTCGTCGTCGTCGTCGTCGTCGTCGTCGTCGTCGTTGGCGTCGGCGTCGGCGTCGTCGGCGTCGGCGTCGGCGTCGGCGCCAGCGTCGGCGTCGGCGTCGGCGTCGGCTCCGGCGTCGCCGCTACAGTCGCCGCCTTCGTCGTCGTTGTCGTCGCTGTCGTCGTTGTCGTCGTCGTCGTCGTCGTCGTCGTCGTCGTTGTCGTTGTCGTCGCTGTCGTCGTCGTCGTTTTCGTCGTCGTCGTCGTCGTCGTCGTCGTCGTCGTCGTCATCGGCGTCGTCGTCGTCGTCGTCGTCGTCGGCGTCGTCGTCGGCGTCGAAGTCGGCGCTGGCGTGGTTGTCGGCGTCGGTGTCGTCTTCGTTCTCGTCGTCGTCGGCGTCGAAGTCGGCGGCGTCGTTGTCGTCGTCGCTCGCGCAGGCCCGACCGGACCTGGGAGGCCGAGGTGCAGGGCTTCGCCGACTGGACGGAGGCTCGCTGCTCGGCGTTTGCCAGCCGCACCGCCCTCCCACCTTCGGCTAGGCGTAGGAGTGACCTTTCGCCACCGACCCTGGCGAAGCAACCCATTCACACCTCGAATTAGACAAATCGCAGTGCAGAAACTTCTGCGAGCGCCGTGCCACTCCCGGCTTTTCTCTTGGGGGGGGTCCTTTCGACGCGCGCTCGCCTGGGCCTCCTCATGAAGCGCGCAGATCGTGACGCGACCAGGGAGCCTAGGCCACTCCTGTCAAGGGGGTGGGCGGCTCCTGGCGCAAGCCGGGAGCCGAGGGCGGGCGGCGCCAGTGCTCACCTCCTGACGCCCCTCTGGACGGCCGTGGCTTTGGGTTCTCGCCAGACCGCAGCGTCTGCAGAGCTACTCTGCGGGGAGTGGCATCTGGAACTGGGGCCAAAGTGCCCCACAAGGCAATCCAGCGGGATGTTCCGTCCCTGCTGAGCTCAAATGCAGTTGCCTCACGCACCGTGCTGGGTCTGGGTCATACCATTTTGCGGTGGTCGCTGGGCCCTAGGACCACCTGGCTTCCGCTGGATAAGCTAGCCTGTTTGCTGTTCGGGCTCCGTGGGCCAGGTCGGGCCTCTCGCGGCTGTGTCCCGCTCGTGAACTTTAAAAGCGCTCACAGAGTAAGACGAGCCCGTGTCCGTGGATTTGGGTAAGACGCGTTTGCGCCTGGTGCCCTGAAAGCATCCTGGAGGTGTGGTGGTCCCGCATCGTTCCCAGGCCTTTCAATTGGGCAGGAAGGACGCCCGTATCCCCCTTTTCATATTACAAAACTCTGCCACCAGTGCGTGCTTCCCTTCCCGCGGGGCTCAGGATTCGAAGGATTTGATCCCTTGCGTGGCCTCTATCGGGTCGGACCGAGCGCCTCCACACGCAGATGGACCGTCGTGTCGCCGTGTGCAAGGACAGAGCATATCGTCGACCACTCGCGTACGCTTTCGCCTCGAGCCGTGCGTTCGGAGCATCCTCTCTGGAGCTTTCTCCTTAGGCGCACGCAGCTTTTTCGGCATCTGCCACCGGAGCAGGCTTTGAAGCAATGTAGTTTGTCCCAACGCCTCCTCCAACCAACAGGGGGGAACCGCACAAATTGGCCTTCAATACAGATTCGTCCAATTGTGCGCTTATCCCATCTGCCAGCGTATCGCACTTCAACATTTTGTTATCGACCATGGGGCTGGTCACGGGCGTCATGGTGAACAGTGGAGAGGTGGGCTTTTCTGGAACTCCCAGTGAGGCTCGGGCCTGTGCAGTCCCCACAAGAGGACCCCTCAGAGTCCCGCGTCCCCAGTCCCGGATGTCCGAACCTCAAGGATCGAGGGGTACCGCGGGGGAGCTCGCGCTCCCATTCCCGATCTCCGCAGTCCTCCTCGTCGGGGCATGAGGCCGTCGTTTACCGGTCCACTCTCTTGATTCTGTCTTTCGCGTCGAGGAGCGTAGATTGGCGTCTGGGAGTGGACGAGATAGCGCCGATTTTTTTGGCGTCGGTTAGCGCCGATCGGCGTCGATTTAGCGTCGATTCTGCGTCGATTTGACGAAGACCTCGCAGACATCCGGGCGCTCCAATTTTGTCGATGCGTGTGCCCCGGAGGTCTGGACCGCTTCCCCGGGGCTGGTTTTTCGTCCTGAGTGTTTTTTGACGCTGCCCAGGCCCGGCGAGGGCCTTCGGAGGCCGAAAAAGGCCAAAATCCCGCCGCTCTAATTTTTCTGGACCGTCGGATCTTTGTGATGGGCCTGTTTTCTACCACCACCACCATAAGTTGAAGGGGGGAAGGAGGTGGACGGGGAGGAGGAGGAGGAGGAGGAGGAGGAGGAGGAGGAGGAGGAGGAGGAGGAGGAGGAGGAGGAGGAGAGGAGGAGAGGAGGAGGAGAGGAGGAGGAGGAGGAGGAGGAGGAGGAGGAGGAGAAGGAGGAGGACCCCCTTCCCCCGAACTTATGATGGTGGTGGTGGTGGAAAAGTGGCCCATCACCCTGGGTTAGCCAACTGCTGCGCCATCGCCGACCCTGGCCAGGCCAGTCCTGGGCACGGCACCCGTGGTGCATTCCCCCTTGCGGGCCAGGCCAGCAGGGCGCAGGCCCCGGCCCAGGACCCATGAGGGGCATGGCCAGGTTCGGTGTAGGTGGACAGTCTCCTCCTCCTCCTCTTCCTCCTCCTCCTCCACCTTCTCCTCCCCCATCCCCCTGCCCCCCCCCCTCCTCCTCCCCCTCCCTTCGTCCCCCTCCCTCCTCCTCCTCCTCCGCCTCCACCAATCGTGTTTATTTTCTTCACTCTGGGGGCCCGGTAAGAGCCCAGGATGCTCAAACTGTCAACTGTAGTTCACAAGTTAGGTTTTTGATGATTGGATGGTCTGGGGTCCGGGTCTCAAAAGCGACCCCCAGACCAATCTTGGGGTGCGTTCTGGCCAGAATTTCGAGGCGAATCCAGCCGTGGCTACGAGGAGGCCCAGGTGCGGCCAAACTCGCCCCATCATCTTGAACCTGCGCCCTCCTCCTGCCGGCCTGGGGAGTTCCTAGTCTCCGCTCCGGCCTCCGCTCGCGATCTCCTCGACAGGGCGAGCGGTGCGGCGGCGACGACGACGACGACGACGCCGACGACGACGACGACGATGACGGCGGCGGCGGCGGCGGCGGCAGCGGCGGCGACGACGACGTCGACGGCGGCGGCGGCGGCGGCAGCGGCGGCGGCGCGGCGGCGGCGGCGGCGACGACGACGACGACGACGACGGCGGCGGCGACGAGCGGCGGCCGCGATGACGACGGCTGCGAGCCTCGCCAGGGCGAGCGGGCGCGGGTCCGGGGCTACCGGCGCGGCGGCGCTCGCAGGGAGGAGCGGCCGCGCGGCGGCCCCCCACCCGGGCCGCCGCCGCAGCCCAGGTGCTGTTCGGCCAGGGCAGGTTCGAGGTTCGAGGTTGGAGGTTGGAGGTTGGAGGTTGGAGGTTCGATGTTCGAGGTTGGAGGTTCGAGGTTGGAGGTTGGAGGTTCGAGATTGGAGTTTCGAGGTTCGAGGTTGGAGGTTCGAGATTGGAGGCCAGGGCAGGTTCGAGGTTCAAGATTGGAGGTTGGAGGTTCGAGGTTCGAGAGTGGAGGTTTTCGGGCGCCCTCGTCGACTCGTGGCGGCTCCTCCGCCTGGGTGTGCATTCCAGCGGCTGCGCCCCGCCGAGGTTCGCGATTGTGGAGCTTTTCGGGCGCCATCGTCGGTTCGTGGCGGCTTTTCAGCCTCGGGGTGCGTTCCAGCGGCTGCGCTTCGCCGAGAGCGTTCTCGGGATGCTTGGGTGGTCCCGAAGGGCTGCCAGAGAGCCGAGTTAGGACCAGAAAGCCTCCGCGGGGAGGAGGGTTACAGTCGGGTATAGCCAGGACCCCAGGTGAGGGGACCCAGTTAGTGGTAGGGTCCCGGACTCTCTGAATTCGCCAGAATCACTAAACCAGGTCTGCCGCAGCTGGCGTTTTTTCGGGTGACGGCAGCTCCGGCTAGTGGAACGGGGTGGGAGGGGGAGGGGCGCCCCCCAGTGCACATCCCCAAACCAGGTCCCACTAAACAAGTCGGGCCTGTCCCTCTACAGGAGGAATATTCAAAAATAGTAAAAAAATAGTCTGGGGACGAATTTTCGATTATTTTTGAACGTTTTTGATCATGTACATGCACATTTGTATACATGTATGTATGTATGTATGTATGTATGTATGTATGTATGTATGTATGTAGGTAGGTAGGTAGGTAGGTAGGTAGGTAGGTAGGTAGGTAGGTAGGTAGGTAGGTAGGTAGGCATGCATGCATGCATGTATGTATGTATGTATGTGTATGTATGTACGTACGTACGTACGTACGTACGTACGTACGTACGTACGTACGTATATATATATATATATATATATATTGGGGTGGGGGGGAATTTAAATTTTTCGTCGAATTCGGCCTGTAGGGGGACACGCCCGACCTAACACTCGACCCGGTTCTGCCAGCGCCCGATACAGGAGCAGCGACAGGAGGAGATATACGTTCAGGGGGAGACTGCCGAGGCCCGGGCCCGGGAGCGTGCGGCCTCGCAACCCCGGGGGGGCCCCTCGCCGATCCATCGGCGAGGTGCCTCCGGTTCGGGGTCGCTGCTCTGCCCTCCCTCTCCTGAGCCAGCCATGCACGCAGGCTTTATGGTCTCGCTCATCATATGCATGCTTGCGTTAACTCGGGCCTGTCCCTCTTCAGGAGGGATGTTCAGAAATGGTGAAAAAATAGTCGGGGGACGATGTTTCGACTGTTTCTGAGCATTTTGGAAGTATGTTTGGAGTTTTTGTTGTTGTTGTTGTTGTTTTAATGTTTGGTCCAAAATGCCCCCTGGAGGGGGACAGGCCCGACCTAATGCCTGCGTGTAGTCCATACGTGCAGGCCTGGAGCAGGCCAGGCCCGAACGGCTGTCCGCAGTGGTGGCTCGTTCGTTCCCCCCCCTGAGCCAGGTCCCCCCCCTTCTACCGTTGGCGCTCATTCTCGCCCCTCGCCGTCCGCTGCCGCCGTTCTCCTCCTCCTCCTCCTCCTCCTCCTCTCCTCCTCCTTTTTTTTTGTTTTTTTTTTTTTTTTTTTTTTTTTTTTTTTTTTGCGTTGCTCAGACATGAAGCCAGGGCTTGAGGCTTTTTCCTCCTCCCTCCTCCTCCTACTCCTCCTCCTCCTCCTCCTCCTCTCCTCCTCCTCCTCCTCCTCCTCCTCCTCCCCCTCCTCCTCCTCCTCCTCCTCCTCCTCCTCCTCCTCCTCCTCCTCCTCCTCCTCCTCCTCCTCCTCCTCCTCCTCCCTCCTCCTCCTCCTCCTCCTCCTCCTCCTCCTCCTCCTCCTCCTCCGCTGCCGCCGTCTGGCCGTACAAAGATGGGGCCCCAGGCCCAGACCTTCAACGCACCCTCGGATCGGGGCGCTCTCGGCGGAGGGCTGGCGCGCACTGCGGGGCTCGGGGCCGGCGGCGCCGACGACGAGGGCGACGAGGGCGACGAGCACGAGGACGGCGAGGAGGGCGACGACGGCGAGGACGGCGAGGGCGACGAGCGCGAGGATCCGCAGTGCAACTTTGTCAAGCCCTGCGTGTTTTCGCCCTCAGCCTCTTTTCCCCCCCCCGCCTGCCTGCTGCGCAGTCCGCTCCTCGGTGTCCCCGCTTGGCTCCATCGCCGGTGCAGCCCTTCTGCCGCGCCGCCGACGAGAAAGGCTTTCGCCCGTCCCTCGGGCCCCGCCGAGGCCGCCGCAGGGCCCAGAAGGGGCTGCCGAGGCCGCCGAGTGCCGTCTGGCGGTGCTGCTGGCCCGGCGGCGCCCTGCGGCGGTGCGGTTGGCCGGGCGCCTGTCCCTGGCGTGGGGCGGTCGGCAGGGCCCACGAGGCTCCCGAGGCTGGCTGCGAGTGGAAGAAGAGGAGGGTGACGACGGGCCAGACTAGACTAGATCTGGACTTGAAGCAGGCCCACCACGAGATGCTTCATGGCCCCCTCAGGTTGAAGGCACCCGCCAGGGTCGAGCGCCAAGATGGCCAGAGCAAGCTCGCAAGCTGCTCTCATCACTGTTACTCTCTCTTGGGCTGGCGGTCTGAGCTTGTGTGATCCACCCGCTCTTGGCCGTCACTCTGGGCACGCTGGGTGCAGGTGGCGTTCGCAACAGACCACATGGGAGCGAGTCCGTCAGTTGCGGGTCGCGCGCACGTGTGCAGAAAAATACCATTGGGAACGCGCATTTTTATGCCACCAAATTGCCCCACCAAGGGTCGAGAAACTACACTGGGCAGTCCTACAGCATTAACGGCAACAAAAGGATTAGGTACACCAGCAATGCGACAGATTGTCAGTAAAACACAACACAGAGCGACCTTTCTCGACTGGGACAACGTATGCCGACAGTAGACGCAAAACAGAGGGATACCTGGGTAAACTACCAGCAAGTGTCTCTGCACTGTTGCTTGTCCCTTTTCCCCTGTGTGTCGTTCGTCCTCCCCTTCCTCTCTCTGTGCTTGCTTTTTCTGCCCTGCCCTCTGCTCTCGGTCGGTCGCAGTCGATTGGGCTGGGTTTTGTTTTTAGAGTAGTGGGGGAGATGGCGGCCAGTCGGGTCGGCCAACGCGTCCCTCAGCACAGGCCCTACGCGGGCCCCCCTCTTATGACCTGGTCGGGCGTCCCTGGGCCCCCCGCTGGAGCGGGGCCCCGAGAGGGCCCATGAGCTACCGAGGGCGCTCTTGTAGGCTCGGCCGTGACCCCCCATCAAGATGCGGGTAGGGCCTTGCGTCCACACTTTACGCAGGGAGGCATAGGGTCTTTACCTCCTCCCTCTTCCCTCCCTCCTTCCTTCCTCATTTCCTTCTCTCCTCTCCATCCCTCTGTCTCTCTGGAGCGAGCCTCGGTCCTGACAGTCGTCAGGTAGCGAGCGACTAGTGTCCGGAGCGTTCAGCGGAGTGCCAGATGCACTACTTCAGCGGGCGAGAGTTAGCTCGTCCGCCCCCGAGCAGTGTGGAAGCCTGGCCACGCCTTCTTCACCTTGTGCGTAGCATTGGTTGGTGACTCCCTCTTTGGATCGAAAGGGGTCGCGGGAGCTCCTTGAAGTCGCCCGCCAGCACCACAAGCTTGAAATCAATCTTTGGGAGTTGCAGAGGGCGAGCGGCATCTGGCCAAACATTGGCCCAGAATGAGGATTCTTCATAAACAAAAGATTCCCAGACGCTCCAGGCGCCCCCAGGCGCTCCCAAGCCGTCCTAGGCGTTCCGCATGCGGTCCCAAGCCGTCCCAGGCTCTCCCAGACGCTCCCGGACGCCCCCAGGCGTTCCCAAACGCCCCAGGAACGCCCAAAAACTCCCAGGCAGATCCAGGCGCTCCCTAGGCGGCCCCAGGCGCTTCCAGGACGCGTGAGATGTTCCCAGGCTCTTCCAGACGCGGAGCGCCCAAGCGCTCCTCTGCGGCTCCAGGCGCTCCTGAGGCGGCCTTAGGCGCTTGCAGGCGCTCCTAGGGGCCCCCAGACTCCCAGGCGCTCCCATGCGCTTCCAGACGCTCCAGGAGCGCCCATGCGCTCCTTAGCAGCCCCAGGTGCTCCCAAGGCGGCCCCAGGCGCTCCCAAGCGCTCCCAGACGCCTCCACACGCTCGCATGCGCTCCTAGGCCCTCCCCAGACGCTCCAGAAGCGCCCCCGAACGCTCCCGCACGTTTCCAGACGAAGACGCTCCCTGGCGCTCCCAGACGCTCCAGGAAATTCCAGGAGGCCCTAGGAAACATCGGGAGACCCCAGGAGGCCCCAGAGGAGGCTCCAGAACGCTCTCCCAGGAACCCCCAGTAGACGCGGCCTGACGGACCCCGAGAAACCAGTTGAATTTCTTTTCGTGCAGACCCCGCGCGGTGGTCGCGCAGCGATGCGCCCGCATATGCGGCACGTTGGCGGCGCATCCGTAGCGACACCCCCGCGCGCACGCGTGCGTGTCCGGCCGCGCAGCGAGGCGCCATCGCTTCCGCGGATCGAGGCCGCGGCGCCGAACTACCATTCCGCTGCATGCCGCCGCGCGAGCCGTCCCTCGCGCGCTCGAGCGCGCTGCCAGCCCGCGCGAGGCATCTGCCTGCCGCCGCGCGCCGACCCCCGCGCGTGAGCTTGCGGCCCGAGGCCATGGGGCGTCAATTCCTCCCCTCTCCCTGGCTCTTTGCCTTCCTCGTCTCGTTTCCTCTCCCCGTCTTCGCTGCAAGTGCTTCCTGGGCTCTGCTGCCTGTGGTGGCCGGGGCCGTCCTTGGATGCAGCCGTGCTCTCCTGCGGGGCAGGGAGTTCCGCTCTCCACAAGGCCCGTCGGTGTTTCACTCGGTTTGCAGTTTCCTTGTGTCTCGTCCCCCCTTGCTCCTGCGTGCTGCTTGCTGTGGTCTCCCTCCTTCCTGCTCTGCTGCCTCCGCTCTTCGCTCGCTTTCCTGCTCCTCTCCCTGCTGCTCTTGGCTCTTCCTCTTTCCCCCCTGCTGCCTGTTCGCTCTCCCTGCTCTTGCTGCTGCTGTCCACGCGTAGCGCTCAGTTCATTTCTCCTGGCCAGCACGGCCTTTCAGCATTAAACGCGACGCCTGGGGTTTGGGTTGCGTGCGGCGGACAAAAGACGGGGCCATCGCCGATGCAGCGCGCGAGTCCTCTCATGCGTGCGCGCGAGCGCTATCCAGTCGCGCGAGGAAGCTGCTTGGCGCCGCGCGCCGGCCCCCGCGCGAAAATCGTGTGCTGCGACCGCTGGCGACGCCCCGCGCGCGAGTCCTCGTCCGTGCGCTCGAGCGCTGCTCCGTCTCGCGAGGAGTTTGCTTGGCGCTGCGCCCCGACCCCAGTGCGAGACTCCGCGTTCCGAGGTATTCGCCGATGCTGCGCGCGAGTCCCTCCCTGCGCGCGCGAGCGCTACACAGTCGCGCGAGGAGGCTGCTTGGCGGCGCGCGCCGAGCCCCGCGCGGAAGTCGCTCGCCGAGACCGCGCCGATGCGACGCGCGAGCCCGCGCCCGAAGAATCCTGACGCGGCCCGAGGGTTCCCGAGCAAGCCCTCTAATTTTTCATGCAGACCCCCCCCCCCGCGCGGTGGTCGCGTTGCAATGCGCCCGCGTGTGCGGCGTTCGACGTTCGTCGCTCGTCGCCTATAACTCGTCGTCGTTCGCCGTACGTCGACAGTCGTCGTCCAGGTCACCATTCGTTATTCGTCGTTCGTAGTTCCTCGCCCGTCGTCGTCGTCGTCGTCGTCGTCGTCGTCGGCGTCGTCGTCGTCGTCCGTCGGTCGTCGTTCGTCGTTCGTCGCCCGTTTGCAATCGTTTGTCGTTGGTGGTTCGCCGCCGTCGCCGTTCGCGTATAATCGCGCAGCGATGCATCCGCGGGGATGTGCGACGTATTTCATGTTTCCCCTTTTAAGGGGGAGGCGTGGGGGGTGGAGGCGCGGAGGGCGTTCACTCTCTGGCGCAGCCGAGGCAGGGGTGGGGGGTTGGGACGCGAGCATCGCGAGCGCGCACCAACGCATCCCGCCTTCAACAATCCACTTGAGGTGGGTGGGATGCGTGCGCGCGTTCTTTTTCGACACAGTCCTCCTCCCCCTCCTCCTCCCCCTCTTTCCCTCGTCCATTCTCCCTCCCCTTCCCTCCCTCCTCCCTCCCCTCCCCTTCACCCCCCTCTTCTTCCTTCCCCCCCTCCTCGTCCCCACCCCCTTCCCCCACTCCCCCTTTTCCCCCCCTCCCCCCCTCCCTGCTGGGGGGTTGCCTCCCGCCCGCCGGCGGGGGAGGACGGCGGGGCCGTGGGTGCCGCGCTGCTGGAGCAGGCCCGTGAGGGGTCGGGCGTCGCAGGAGGTGTCTCTCGGCCCGAGCTTCGGTACGATCGACGATCCATCGACGGCGACGACGACGACGAGGTCGTCGTCGTCGATCGTTCATCGCCGTCGATGTCGTCGATGTCGTCGTCGTCGTCGTCGTCGTCGTCGTCGTCGTCGTCTTCGCTGTCGTTGTCGTTGTCGTCGCCGCTGCCGCCGCCTTCGCCCTCGTCGCCGCCGCCGCCACCGCTGTTGCCGCCGCTGCCGCCGCTGCCGCCGCCGCCGCCGTCGTCGTGGTGGTCGTCGTCGTCCTCGTGGTCGTCGGTCCGAGATCTATACTATCTACATAGGTCCTCGGGGATCGACGTTCGATCCATACGCCTGTTGGAGCCCGCAACTGTGGCCGCCAGGGGGGGGGAGGCAGGATGGGGCAGGGTATGGGTGGAAAATCTGGCCTCCAGAGCCTGGAAAGAATAGGGACGAAGACCGAAATTAATTCTTGCACACTTTGAACATGAATCGCTGTTGGTCGGTGCGGCCGCGGATGTGGCTCATTCGAGACGGGAGATCGCATGTCAAGAAGAGGCCGCTGTCGGTCTGATGGTGGGCATCGTGCCTTTTCTCCGTACCCATTCTGGGCGTACCGGAACCACATCCTCTTTTCCCCCCTTTCGATCCACTGCGTCTCCTCCTCCTCCTCCTCCTCCTCCTTCCAGCCCCTTCCAGCCCCTTCCTCTTGCCGTTCCTCCTTCCCTCCCCATGTCGGATGCTGCCAGCGGTGGTCCTGGCCCAAGGTGTCCCAGACTTCTCTCGCGAAGTTTTGCGGCCCTTGTGGCTCTCCTCGGCCATGGCCTCTCTGTAAGAACAGGTTTACCGAACAGGATTTTGTTATGGAGTGTAGCCGTGTGGGCTGTTGCTTGTCGTTTTTGTGTTTGTTTACCCCCTCGGGGGGTCTCTGTAGGGAAAGGGCGTTTCCAGACAGCGCATTCATATTAGGGAACATCGTTCAACATCGGCTCCGGGGAGGGGACGATTTTCAGAGGACGCGTGGGGCGAAGGGATGTGGTCGGCCCCAGAACCATTACATACACTTCACCGGGCAGCATAAGAGCAGTCTCACATGCCCCAATGTGCATTGGCGGAAATAAGCAATAACCCTGTAGCTTCACAATCAAAGCCAATGATGCACGTGCGACGCATGAGTAGTGTTGTGCGAAGAGAACCGCATACGTATACCGCGTACACATGAACGCTGAGCACGTACATAAGTGAAACAAGTGGCGCACATGATACCTCACTCTTCCCGTTGCGTGTCTTTGCACATGTAGTATTTGACGCAGACGAGCCCCAACCTTGCTTCAAGATGCCCCCCATACACACATATATATATAGCCAAGAAAAGATAAACACATTCATTAAACACATAATTGCCCAGACCTGCTCCGCGAGAGCTCCACACGAGAGCCGCCGGCGGCCTCCGGGGGAGCCCAGGGCGGCCCAGGAAAGGGCTCCAGGACGATCCCGAGGGGCCCCACGAGGCTCCCCCAGGAGGGCCCCAAGGGGGCCCCAGCGCTGCAAGGAGGGCCCCTAAGAGGACGAGGCCTCCGAAGCGCCCACGAGTGTGGCCCCGAGGCTCCTTCGGAGGCCGAAGAGGTTCCCGAGCGAGCCCCAAGGTTGTTCAAGGATGCCCAGGGACTGCCCCGAATACCAGGCCTCAGTGCGACTTCAGACACCAGCGCGTGGGCTTCCACGCCAGGGACCCGAACATCTGGACACGGCCCCTTGGCGCGATATACGCTTGGCCCCATGGCAAGTAGAGCTTGAGCCCGCTTGAAGCGCCAAGATGGCTTCAAGAAGAGCCACGACTCCTTTAAGACGTCATAAGAGGGCTCCATGAGCCCCCCCCCCACGAGAGCCCCAAGAGGTAAAGGTGGTCCCATTCCTGAAGGAAAACGTGCATTTTCGGCATATGCGACTTTCGGGTTTCCAAGAATCCAAGACAGCCCTAAGAGGCCTCCAAAACCGCCCCAAGACGGCCCAAACTCTTAAGAAAGTCCGAACATGGCCCAATAGCGCCCCAAGACGGCCCAGGAACCGGCCTTCCCAAGATGGCCCCCAAGTTCGCCCCCAAAGCGCACAAGATGCCCTCAAGATGCACCCAAACTGGCCCAAGACCGTCCAACATTGCTTCTGGGGCGCTCTGGCGCCACCCGAGACACCCCCAGACGGTCTGAAGACGCGCCAAGGGGCCCCCAGAAGGCTTCCAAGGAGCCCCCCAGGTTCCCCATACCCTGTGTAAAACAACCTTTTTCAGCATATTCGCTTTTCCAGTCTTGACAGAGGCTCCAATACCGCTTACGAGGCCCCAAACACGGCCCAAGAGGGCCCCAAGACGGTCTAAGGGAGCCCCAAGATGGCCTCAAGAGTGTGCTGAAACGGGTCGTGGGGCACTATCTTGGGGGGTGCGGCTCCCAACATGCCCCCAACACCTTCCGGGAAGCCTCCAGCACGCTTCCAAGAGGCCCCCAGAGGTTTCCGCTCTGGCATGCACTGGGATCACTACTCTGGAATCCCTGGGAATCGACTCCCAAGGAATTAAGGAAGGTTTCCGCGCGCCCACCAGATAGAGCCGCCAAAGGTTTGAAATCCCTGGGAATCGGTTTCCAGGGATTTCAAACCTGCGGCGGCTCGATTCAGGCGCCGACTAGAGCGCCGAATAGAGCGCCGAACAGTGCGCCGAACAGAGCGCCGAATAGAGAGCCTAATAGTGCGCCATAATGTATCGCCGAACAAAGCGCCGAATAGAGTGCCGAATAGAGCGCCGAGTAAAGCGCCGAACAGAGCGCCGAGTAGAGCGCCTAATAGAGCGCGTACTAGAACGCCGACTATAGCGCCGAATAGAGAAGCAGCCGGTTTGAAATCCCTGGGAATCGATTTCACACCTGCGGCGGCTTTATTATGGCGCCGAATAGGAGCGCCGAACAGAGCGCCGAAAAGAGCGCCGAACAGAGCGCCGAACAGAGCGCCGAACAGAGCGCCGAATAGAGCGCCGAATTTAGCACCGAGTAAAGCGCCGAACAGAGCGCCGAATAAAGCGCCGAACAGAGTGCCGAATAGAGCGCAGAATAAAGCCGCCGCAGGCTTGCAATCCCTGGGAATCGATTCGCAAGTATTTCAAACCTGCGGTGGTTTTATAAGGGCGCCGAATAGAGCGCCGAATGGAGCGCCGTATGGAGCGTCGAATAGAGCGCTCAACAGAGCGCCGAACAGAGCGCCGAACAGAGCGCCGAATAGGGCGCCTAATAAAACCGCCACAGGCTTGAAATGCCTGGGAATCGATTCGCAAGTATTTCAAACCTGCGGCTGTTGTATTCGCGCCGAACGGAGCGCCGAATGGAGCGCCAAATAGAGTGCCGAATAGAGCGCCGAACAGAGCGCCGAGTAGAGCGCCTAATACAGCGCCTAATAGAGCCCCCAATGGAGCCCTCTATTCGGCGTTCTAATCGACGCTCTAATAGAGTCGCTTCAGGTTTTGAAATCCCTGGGAATCGGTTCCCAGGGATTTCAAACCTGCGGCGGCTCTAGTAGGGTGATGTAGAGCGCCGAATAACCTTCTGCTACGCTCTCTCGTGCTCGTGCACGAAATGCACGTTGCAGGTAGGGAAGATATACCCCCGAGGGGGTACGATCGAAGACGAAGAGGGCGGGTATCGAGGGTTTGGGATATACGTGTTGAATGACACGCGAGCAGATAAGAGCGATCAGTCTTGAAATGATTGTTGTTATGGTTGATGATGATTACATAATGATTACTGTTGATCCCCCCCGGAGAGCATGTAGTTTCTCAATCAAAGTGTCCCTTCTGTGACTCGCACCCGGTTTTGTCAACAAGGGACAGTGCGGGATCACAAAATTGTGTCCGTTGGCCCTGGTTTACAAGAACAGCGGCTCCCGCCTGAGGCTTCCTCACAGTTTCCTCCCACATCGCGCCCTCGCGCGGGACCCCCTCCACCTCTCTGCAGGAGCCGCGCTCTCGCGTGGGATCTCCTCGCGAGCTCTCCAGACGAGTCCGGAGCCATTTTGCCTCAGGCTGCCCCCGCCCGGCCTCCACCGGCTCCTCCGCGCGCCGCCGCCCGCCCCGCTCGCCCCCTCCACCGCAGGGCCGCCCGGGCCCGCCCGCCCCGGCCCCCCCATGGGGCTGACGCACGGCAGGTGCGGCGCGCCGTCCGCCGGCCCCGGGCCCGAGGGCGCGGACGGCAGGCCCCTGGTCCTGGAGTCGTCCCTCATCTTCGACGACGCCACCATGAGGAGGTACGTCCCGGCGCCGGTCTGCAAGAGGTTCCTCGAGGACACCGTGTCTGGGGATCCCACCAGCGAGGAGGACCAGCGGGCCATCGCAGACGGCCTGTTCCGGTGGGCGCGGGAGAAGGGCTGCACCGACTTTGCCCACTGGTTCTTCCCGGTCCGCGGCGGCGGCGGTGCCGTGGGCGGTGCCGTCGGCGCCCTCAAGATGGACACACTGGTCGACCTCGACTTCAAGTCGGGGAGCGCGATCAAGCCCTTCTTCGCGACGCTCCCGCACGAGCGCCTGTTCCAGGGCGAGACGGACGGCTCCTCGTTCCCCAACGGCGGCCTCCGCGTGACCCACTCCGCCGCCGCCTTCACGGTGTGGGACCGGACGTCGCCCCCGATCATCTCGGGCACCACGCTCCGCATCCCGTGCTCCTTCCTGACGCATTTCGGGAAGAGCATCGACGACAAGACGCCGCTCCTGCGCTCGCAGGACGCCGTTAGCGCCCAGGGGATGCGCCTGCTGAGGGCCCTGGGGCTGGCGTCCGACGCCAAGTGCCTGCGCTCTTACCTGGGTTGGGAGCAGGAGTTCTTCGTGGTCTCTGCCGACCTGTACAAGAAGCGTCCAGACCTCGTCAACACTGGCCGCACGCTGTTCGGTAAGCTGCCCACCCGCGGCCAGCAGATGGATCTCAACTACTTCGCCCCCGTCCCCGAGCTCGTCGACAAGATGATGGCGGAGGTTCAGCAGGAGATGCTGAGAACGGGCACCCCGATGGCAGTCCGTCATAACGAGGTGGCGCCAGGGCAACACGAGATGTCACCGATCTTCGGAATGGCCAACTGGTCTGCGGACAACAACGTGTACTTCATGGAGGCCTGTAACAGGATTGCGTCCAAGTACGGCCTGATGGTGCTGTTTCACGAGAAGCCGTTCGCTGGCATAAACGGCAGCGGCAAGCACGCGAATTGGTCTGTCGGCACCGACACAGGCATCAATTTCTTTTACCCCGGCAAGACAGACGAAGCACGCACCATCTACACTGCGGCCCTGGCCTGCCTCTCTCACGGAATCATGCAGTACAACGAGATGTTGCGATGTGCCGTGGCACACGCGGGCAACGACCATCGCCTCGGAGCCCAGGAGGCGCCCCCCGCCATCATCTCGCTCTACCCTGGCACTGGCTTCGAGGCGCACGTGGACGCGGTTATCGCAGGAGGCCCCCTGAATGAGTTCAAGGCCGAGAAGAAGCAGCAGCCCACTGGCTGCAAGGCTTCTATGGCGGTCGAGTCCAACGTCGAGGACCGCAACCGCACGGCGCCCTTTCCCTTCTGCGGCAACCGCTACGAGTTCCGCGCAGTCGGTTCCTCGCAGAACTGCTCTTTCCCGGTGATGATCTGCAACACAATAATGGCCGCGGGCATGAGTGCGCTCTCCGAGAAGATCGAGGGCGGCATGAAGGCGCGTGATGCCGTGGCCGAGATGTATAAGAAGAACCGCGACGTCATCTTCACGGGCAACGGCTACTCCGCCGAGTGGCCAGCCGAGGCGGCCAAGCGCGGTCTCCCAAATCTCAACACGACACCGAAGGCCATCAAGCATTGGGCCTCGAGCAAAAACATCGAGCTTTTCGAGAAGATGGGCGTCTTCTCCAAGGAGGAGACCGAATCCAGGGTTGAGGTTATGTACGAGGCCTACAATACCACACTCAGCGTCGAGGTCAGCACCATGGTCGATATGGTCAAAACTGGATTCATGCCGGCTTTTGCACAGGACTTAGCCTTGTACAAGGACGCCCACGACTTATTGGGCGATCGCAAGAAGTTGTACGGTTCGGTGAAGACCGAGACCGAGAAGCTGGAGAAGATGTTGACTCAGGTTCCTCACGGTGATCTGGCTGCAGAGGCCGAGTACCTGTGCGACAAGGTAAAGGATCAGATGGCCAAGGTGCGATCGTTGGTCGACGATGCCGAGGGCATGTTGGATAAGAGGCTCTATCCGTATCCGACCTACGAGTCCATGCTGTACCACCACCACCACTGAGTTCGAGTCGCAGCCTTTGCAAGACTGCGTGCCAGTCCCTCCTTGCAGATGATGTGCCCCACCGCTCATCGCTGTGTCTCGTCCCCACCATGTTTTCCACACTCTCTATCCTCCCTGCAGTGCTGGCCGTGTTTGCCTTCCTGGTGGAGCCAGGGCTCCCAGAAGGGATTCTGGGCGACGTTCGTCGGGCCTGAGGCCGTGACGGATTCTGTGCTGGAGTTTTGGTGCCTCGGTGGAGCCGAGAGCCCGCGGCCAAGCCCGGGGGCTCGTCGTAGAAGCTGGCCCCCGCTGCTGCTCGCCGCGCCCCGATCCAGCACGCTCTGCGGCCAGCCTGGAGGGCTGACCGTCAAAGTGCGCTCCGTGCTCACCGCGTGCTCCAGCGGCAAGCACTGAGCAGTGCCGTGCAGTGTCGAGCGCTGCGTGCCCGGATGGCCAGGGCGGCACCGAACCTCATTTGAGAGCACGCCCTCAGCGAAACACCTTCGAGTCGAGGTGCCAAGTCCCCGCCGCGGCCAAAGAGAGGGACAAAAAGCAAAATAGCCTGGCGAAGGACCCCACCATATGCAGTTGTGAGTACGGCAGTTGTGGGTATCGCCTTCGGTGGAGCTCCCTATGGGCCACGGCGCGCTGTGCTGGATGGGGGAGACCCATGTGGACACCGCCACTGCGACCTTAGGTGGAGCTCCAGATGGGGCCACGAATCGCTGTGTTAGGTGGGGGAGACGCATGTGGACACCGCCACTGGGGCCTTAGGTGGAGCTCCCTATGTGGCCACGAAGCGCTGTGCTGTGTGGGGGAGACGCATGTGGACACCGTCACTGGGGCCTTATGTGGAGTTCCCGATGGAGCCACGAAGCGCTGTGCTGGGTGGGGGAGACGCATGTGGACACCGCCACTGGGGCCTTAAGTGGAGCTCCCTAGAGAGCCACGAAACGAAGTGCTGGGTGGGGGAGATCCATGTGGACACCGCCACTGGGACCTTAGGGTGGAGCTCCCTATGGAGCCACGAAGCGCTGTGCTGGGCGGGGGAGACGCATGTGGTCACCGCCACTGGGGACCTTAGGTGGAGCACCCTATGGGGCCCCGAAGCGCCGTAGTGGGTGGGGGAGACGCATGTGGACAGCGCCACTGGGACTTTCGGTGGAGCTTCCTGTTTGGCCACGAAGCGCTGTGCTGGTTGGGGGAGACGCATGTGGACACCGCCACTGGGACTTTAGGTTGAGCTCCCTATGGGGCCACGAAGCGCTGTGCTGGGTGGGGGAGGGGCATGTGGACACCGCCACTAGGGCCTTATGTGGAGTTCCCTATGGAGCCATGAAGCGCTGTGCTGGGTGGGGGAGACGCATGTGGACACCGCCACTGGGGCCTTAAGTGGAGCTCCCTTTGGGGCCGCGAAACGAAGTGCTGGGTGGGGGAGACCCATGTGGACACCGCCACTGGGACCTTAGGTCGAGCTCCCTATGTGGCCACGAAACGCTGAGGACATGCGCAGGGCAGAGGCAGGGATGGGAGGAGGGAGGAGGGGGAGGAAGGAAGGAGGGAGGGAATGAGGGAGGGAATGAATGCTGGGACCGTCTCTTCAAAACGAGGACCGAACACCACAGGATGGTTGGGAACACGTTTTTTAGATGCCGCGCCCTCGACAGTCAGGAATCACGCTCTTCATGTTGGAATCGCGCAATCGATGGATGCTTCTTCGCGATTCATGAAAGACGCACGGCACGCTTCAGCAACCCGCCTGCTCGACCTGGCCGCCTGGGCCCGCCTTCCCGGCCCGCCTGTTCGGGTCTACCCGCCCGATCTGCCCGTCTGGTTCTGCCACGTGTTTTCTGCTCCTAGCTCCTAGCCCCCCTCCTGCTATTCTCTCTCGTGCTCCATCCTCCCCCCCACTTGTACCTTCCTTCCATCCGTCCTCTCCTCCCTTGCCTTAGGGGCAGATGAAAAGACCCGTGGCAATTAAGAAAGGTATGCCCCTAATCGGGGGCACGATCGAAGACGGACAAGGGGGGTATCGAGAGTTTGGGATATACGTGTTGCGTGGCACGCGAGCAAATAAGAGTGAACAGTCTTACAATGATTGTTGCTGTTGTTGTTGTTGTTGTTGTTGTTGTTGTTGTTGTTGTTGTTGTTGTTGTTGTTGTTCTTGTTGTTGTTGTTGTTCTTGTTATTGTTCTTGTTCTTGTTGTTGCTGCATTGTTTGTTCTTTGTTGTTAGCGTCCCACCCGCGACCCGGCCCGCAACCCGCCCGCGACCCACCCACGACCCACCCGCGACCCGGCCCGCGAGCCACCCTGCAACCCGCCCGCGACCCACCCGCCGCCCGCGAACCACCCGCGACCCATCCACATTGCTTTGACGGAAGAGTCGGCGCCTGCGGCGGGCTCGTTGTGTGTGTGTGTGTATGTATGTATGTATGTATGTTTGTATGTTTGTATGTTTGTATTTTTGTTTGTATGTATGTATGTATGTTTGTACGTGTTTTTTCATGTTTGTATGTATGTATGTATGTATGTATGTATGTATGTTTGCAGATGTGTATATAGGTACATATGTATATACATGTATGTATACACATGATTTTATATATGTCTGTATGTCTGTCTGTCTGTCTGTCTGTCTGTCTGTATGTATGTATGTATGTATGTATGTATGTATGTATGTACATCTACATACATGTAAACAAATCTCGGCGCCTGCGGCGGATTTCTTCGGAGCCTCGCAGACTGCCGACGATGCCGCTGCCCCTCCACTTTTCTCCGCAAGTGCGGGGTGCTACGTATTATACCCGCCACCGTGCCGCTGGGTTAGTCTGGCGCAGGCGACGCGGCCGTCTTGCGCTGACCGCCGGGGACTTCCCAGCGCCCAGCGCGTCTCGCAGGCCGCGCTGGCGCGCGGTGCGAGTCGGTGACTCGGGCGGGCGCAGTATTATGGCTGCGCTGACAAAGACAGGCGCGATGATGAAGTAGTGATGCTGGTGACGATGATGACGATGACGGCGGCTTATGATGGGGCTGATGCTGATCCCGCCGAATACGATGATGATGTCCTTGTGTCGGTGATCAAAGTTTTTGGAATGATTTCGACATGCGCGCGCGGCCGACGGGCGCGAGCGGCCCTCATGGTAATATTTGGCAGGGGTCGTACCCCCCCAGAAGCGCGCAAAAGGCGGCCTGATGATTCCAACATGCGCTCGCGAAAGGCCTGCATGGTCGAAATTCATAAACTTGTCCAAACACCCATGATGTTCGCAAGACTTCGCAACAGAGCGCGCGCAGGCTTTGTTTGAATCTCTATGTTGCAACATTTTCGTTTTGAGCGTTCGGGAAATTCGATCGTCAACCTTTACGACGCTTCACTGAGTTTTTGAAGAATTCCGGCATGAGTTCGGGACGACGCACGCGTGTGGACATTGTCCTGTTTATGCAGGGGATTCTTGATTGATGGAGTTTTCAAATAAAAATGGGTGGAGGTGTGTGCGCGTGATACAATTTGGCAGGGGTGAGTGGCGGGACCGATACCTGCATGGGTCGGACTATGGACTTATACGGTGAAACGATCGAGTGTGCACAACAAACATGGCATCATATGTCCCATGGGGGTCGAGAGCCATGAGGTTGGGGTTAAGATAGAACAACATTTTTGATTGGAAGGGATCATCAATGTGGTGCAAGTAACATCTGTTCGCAATTAGTTGTCAACTCGCATGCTCTTGCAAACATCCCACCACCCACCCGCAACTTGGTTTGCAAAACCTATGCGGTGGCGATTGCCGTGCATGCTTGGCGTTGGCTCTGGTGCATCTCTGCGGTCGCGCCAACTCTAGCACGCGCGCGCAGCGGCCAGCTAGTTTGGCGCCACCGACGCGGCCGCGGTGGCGCTGACCGCTGGGCGCATCCCAGCGGGCACTTCATTGCGAATCGGCAACTTGGGCGGGCGCGGTATCATGGCAATGCCGACCACAGTAGACACGATGTTGATGGTGGCGATGCTGGTGACGATGTTCGTACCGACGAAGGCGCGGCCAGTGGGGGCGCCGATGCTGATCACGCCGACGATGATGACGGCGTTTTCGCGTCGGTGATGAAGCTCTTGGGAAGAGTTCGACATGCGCGCGCGGCCGACGCGCGAGAGTGGCCCGCATGTTTTTATTTGACACGGATCGTGCCCTCCCCAGCACGCGTGCAAGGGTGTTCGGATGTTGTCGGCATGCGGCGCCTGAAACCCATGTGGCGTAATTTTACGAGCATGTGTAAACAAAAACCGAGTAAAGAACTCGCACGAGCGCGCGCGCGTAAGTTTTTTCTTTCTTCGGACATATATATATATATAAAACAAACAAACAAACACATAAGACACATACACATGTATGTATATGGGCGTTCCCCCTCCAAGATCATGCCTCTCTCTGCTTCTCCGTTCCTTCTCTTCCGCCTTCTCCGTTCTTTCTCTTTCTCCTTTCCTTTTTCTCTTTCTCCAGACGCAATTCCTCCTCCTCCTGGCCCATCATCCTTCTCCTCCTTCTCCTTTCCGTTTCCTCCTCTCTGTAGCAAAACAAAGCCAATCATACACAGTGTTTGGCGTTGCTTCCCCCTGTTTTTGTTGGTTTGGGATGCAATGAAACATTTTTGTTTTGGAAGCTCAAGTGCTCCCCGCGGCCTCCCCCCCAACATCTCCTCCTTCTCCCCCTTCCCCTTTCCCCCTCCCTGTCCTTTCGTTTCATGTCCTCTTCCTTATTGCAAAGCCCAAGCACCAAGCATACACAGTGTTTGGCGCCGTTGGTGCAAAGAGACGTTTTTTTGTGTTTCCTTTGTTTTTTGGTTCAGGATGCAAGAAATATCAGTGTTTTTTTGGGAAACACAAGTGCTCCCCGCGGCCTCCCCCCCAGCACCTCCTCCGTCTCCCCCTTCCTCTTTCCCCCTCCTCCTCCTTTCCTTTCTTCCTCCCTGTTGCAAAGCAAGGAAACCAACAATACACAGTGTTTGGCGCCCTTGGTGCAAGGAAGCGTTGTGTATTTTGTTATTTGTGTGGTTTTTTGGGTCTAGGATGCAAGGAATAACGTTTTTTTTTTTTTTTTTTTGTTTTCTCTCTTTCTCTCTCTCTTGGGCTATGGAAGCTCAAGTGCTCCCCGCTGCCTCTCCCCAGCACCTCCTCCTCCTTCTCTCCCGGAGCTCCCAAACCCCCAAAACAACAAATTAACCACAAATACAGTGTACCCTTGCATCCTAGACCAACAGAAGCAGAAACAACAAACATACGCAACGTTTCCTTGCACCAGCGGCGCGAAACACTGTGTATTCTTGGTTTTCTTGCTTTTCAACAGGGAGGGGGAAAGGAGGAAAGGGGAAAAGGAGGAGGTGCTGGGGGGAGGCCGCGGGAAGTACTTGAGCTTCCAAAGCCCAAAAGGACAAACATTACCAAACATACGCAGTGCTTCCTTGCATCCTAGACCAAAAAGACCAGAACAACCAAACATACACAGCGTTTCCTTGCTCCTAGGGCGCCAAACGCTGTGTATGATTGGCTTTGTGTTGCTACAGAGAGGAGGGAACGGAAAGGAGAAGGAGGAAAAGGATGATGGGCCAGGAGGAGGAGGACAAATTGTGTTTGGAGAAGGAGGAAAGGGAAAGGAGAAAGAGAAGGAACGGAAAAGGAGGAAGAGAAGGAACGGAGAAGCAGAGAGAGGTATGATCTTGGAGGGGTATGTATGTATGTCTGTATGCATGTGTGTATGTATGTATGTATGTATGTATGTGTGTATATATTTGTATTTGTTATCTGGTTTTGAAATCGCTACGACACCGAAGGTTTTTGAAGGATTCCGGCATGCGCGCGCGACGACGCGCGCGTGTGCATTTCGTTCTTTTCTTCGCAAAGCAATTTTCGCGACGGCGCGCGCGCACAGGCGTTCCAACGATTTCGTCATGCGCGCGCGGAGCCTGTTTGGTAAAATTTTCTGAACATGTTGAAACACCGATGGTTCCATTAAGAATTCGCAAGAGCTCGCGCGCATTTTTTGTTTTTTGTTTTTTGTTGTTCAAATTCCGTGTTGCGAAACCATGTGTATTCATACATTTTTTCACTCGATTTTGAAATCCTTCCGAAGTCGGAGGTTTTTGAATGATTTCGGCATGCGCGTTTTTTTGTAAGGGGTTTTTGAAAACCGATGATTCTTGATGCATGAGTGTGCGCGCATGGTTTTTTGCAGAGGATGGCTGGGGGGGCGGCTCGGCTGGGATGGAACGAGTTCATATTTAGGATGGACAGTGGGGCATAACCATATGTAACTTACATTACGAGAAAGGGGGTCGATTAGCCCGGGGGCGGGGGGGTGTGGTAGACTCTATTCTTTTTGTTCGATAGGAGAATCAATTTCGTAGTCTTGGGCGGCGACGAAACGGCGACGGGGCGGCGATGGCGAACACATAGTCGCTAGACGACGCCCAGGCTCAGACGACGGGCGGCGACGAGGCGACGACGGGACGGTGACGGCGAGCACGGAGACGCCAGACTGCCACCCAAGCCCAGAGGACGGGCGGCAACGAGGCGGCGACGGAGCGGCGACGGCGAGCACGGAGCCATCAGACCGACAATCAGGCACAGACGACGGGCGGCGACGAGGCGGCGACGGGGCGGCGACGGCAAGCACGGATCCGCCAGACGGACATTCAGGGCCAGATCCTTAGAAGAGAAGTGAGAACGCCTAAGTGCAAGCACTGTTTTGGGGATTAATGAATTAATATTTGTATGTATTACTTATTATGTAATTCATTAGCGAATTCATAGCGTGCACACATATATATATATATATATACATGTAAATATGTAAATGCCGGTAAGCATTCATATACATTCATACATTCATATACATGTAAATGTCTATACATTCATATGCGCGTATGTCTATACATTCATATACATGTAAATGCCGGTATGCATATTCATATCGGTAGGTCGTTCTATGCGTATGCGTGTATTGTGCGCTTATCCATGATTGGCAGTGTACGCAAGCTCTACCCAAGCTGCCTGGGTCCCTTTCTTACTCTCGTAGCCAAGGGGGGCACCGCTTGGGGGTCGCAGGGGACGGAAGGGTGTTTGGAGTGGTCCTCACACTTCTGTTCCCGAGTCCTGCCTCTGCCTCCCGTGGGCCCGAGGCCCACGTGGAGCGGGCGGGATTCGGGACGGTGTGTGTGTGTGTGTGTGTGTGTGTGCAGGCCGCTCATATCACCTTTCTATCCACCTATCCTGCTTTCCTTTTGGCCCAAGGTTTTGGATACTGGAGCAGCGCCGCTCGTCCGCGGCGTACACCTGCACTCCATATATGCAGACGTTTGGACAGTATCATATTACAGTGTGGGCCCACTGACGCGAGTCAACCAAGGTGCAATGCCCCCAAACATCACCACCACCCGAAGGGTGGTCTTACCAGTGGTCGTAGGCGTTATCGCAGTGGTGGTCTTAGTGCTACACGATGATGGTCGTGGCCTCGCTTTCTCCTTCCCTCCCTCTCCCTCCCCCTGCCCGTCCTTCTGCTGCTCCCCCCCCCGCTCCCCGCCTCCGCCCTCCCTCTCTTCCGCGCCCCTTGCCCCGCGGGCGCCGCCTAGCCCTGCCCGGCGCAGGGGCTTGCCCGGAGCCTCGACCTGCCTCCCAAAGTGGACTGGCGGAACCTGTCCATGGCGAAGCCGGCGCCGAACCAGGTGGGGGATGGGGCCCGTCGGGCGTTCACCTCCTTTTCCCTCGCTCCCCCTTCCTCCCTTCACTGCTCTCGCCCCTCTCTCCCCCGCCCTCCCTGCTACCCCCCCCCTTCGCCCTGCTCCTCCTTGGATGCCCGACCTCCCTTCCGTGCTATCCCCCCCCCCCCCAGTCCATCCCCCCTTCCCTTCGCCTTTGCCTCCCCCCGCCCTCCGCCCCCTCCACCCCTCCCTCTTGCTCTCCCCCTCCCCCTCTCCCTTTCTCTCCGTCGGACCTCGCCTGTGCCGCTCCCGCTCCCTCACCTTTCGCTGCCCTCCTCCCCTCTCCTCTCCTTCATCCTCGCTTCCCTTTGTATCGTTGCGTCTGAGAAGCGCTCACGTCGGATACACGACGTACTGATCTAATGCACAGGGCTGGCGTCGATCTGGTGCAGACCGTATGTTTCAAAATGCGGGCACGACAACGGACATATCAGCAGGACCCTGGCCCACATGGGAGGCGAGCAGAAGGCATATCTTTGACATACGATATTACAGAGTGCACATGCGCCAGTCTATGCGGATGGCGGCCATTAGAATTGGTAGCAGCATCGATCTCAACCACGACCATGCTCATTTTCCATTCCCTGGGCCGTGCCCGTCAACGACAACCGTAACATTTCTTCTTGCAACCTTCCAGGATCAGCTATTACCGCATCGCGAGCACGAAGCATGAGCGATGAAGAGGGTATGAGGAACTAGTAGGATACGGGGATGAGTTTGAGGGGTAGGAGGAGATGAACAGGGCAACCTTTGCTTCTGCGACTCTTCCACCACTGCTTCTGTGCGCCGTCCGGCGTGCCAGCTCGAAATCCTCTTGACTCCCCGAGCTGGATGGAAGCCCTCGTCGTCGTCGTCGTCCTTCTTCTCCTCTCCCTCTTCCCCGTCGTGTCACTCGTTCAGTCCCTCCTCCTCCCTACCCCTCCGCATGCCTCTCTTACTCTCTCCTGTCTTCGCTCACATTCCACATTCTGCAGGTGCAACATGCGTTTGTTCCTACTTCTGTCGCCTTCCATCAACCTTCCAGCAACCTTCCGCTCCGAGAGGAGGTATCCGCTCCCTCTGTCTTCGCACGGCAGAGGAGGTCCTTTCCAGCGCCTGGCTCTCGCCTGGGATAGTCTCATACACTCTGATCCCAGAGGTCGAGCATGCCAGCAGTTACACGGTTGGAGGATGGTGTTGGTTCAAGCCGAGTTCTCGTTTGGGACCCGACTATTTCATGTGATCATCAGGGTCTGAAGTTTCCAGCAGACGCGCGGATTGAGGGCGGGTGCTTTCTTCGAAGCCGGACTCTCGCTCGAACTTCCTTGCGCACGCAGGGAAGGTGAGGCCGAACGTTCGTAACAGTTTCCCGACGGACGGGGATCGTTTTTATTCGGGGGCGGACAGACCTCCTACCCTGACACGTCGATTAACGAATTGGCCGTTTTCGGTTCGCGAGAGGGCGTCGCGGCCGTTATTGTTGCGGGTCCAGGTCCGTCGGTTTCGGTCCTAGGTCGTTCTCGCTAAAGGGAGGTTTACTAAAGGGAGGTTTGTCCACCGCCGTTTTTATTGAACATCGTGCTCTCGAGCCGCCGCCGCGCACGTTCTGCGCAAGCTTCTGCCGGCTGCACCGTGCGCTCCTAGGGAGGGAGCCTCTCTGCGGAGGGCGCCGACCTGCGTGCCCCGCACCGAGCCGCCTGGCCGGGCCGACCCCGGGCCTATGACACAGTGCGTTCGCCATGCCTTCCTGCCGAAACCAAGAGGGCGTATACACCGAACCTCGGGGGCGGAAAAGAGGGGGGTGATGACTAGGGGGGGTGGATATCATGGCGTGGGCCATGATATTTCCCAGATTTCATGGCGCCTCTTCTTTAATCATTACGTCCCTGGCCCCCCCGCTGGGCCGCGCACATGCCGCCAGTCATGATTTGCACCCCCCCCTCTTTGACGCCCCCCTCTTTGCCGCTCCCGAACCAAGAGGGCGTATACACCGAACCGGGCCCCAGGATGAGCCATGCCACGATCGGTGTAGGTGCAGAGTTGGCGTGCGCGCAGAGCCCAGACTGGACGGCCGCTCCTTCAACGCGAGGCGCAGGAACTTGTCCCTGCCATCGGCGCCCAGACGAAGCGCCGGGCGCACCGGCCGCTGCCGGCGCGCAGGAGGAGTGCGGGTGCGCCATCGGCCCACGAGCGAGGCGTACAGCTGGCGTCGTCCTATCCCTCAAACTGGTTGTCTGTTGTGGCCAAATGTCCATCCGATCGCTGAGGCGCGTCAGGCAACAGGCAGGGCTGTCCCCATGCAGGCCCACAGGGCCAGCTCATTTCTGGCAAGCGCCTTCCACAGTGCAGAGAAATCTTTTGCATCTACTCGTGAGGATGGACCGAGCGACAGTACTGCACACCAATGTGACGTTTCATGGCTCACAGGTAAAGGAATTCGCACGCGCTCATCCCATGGTTGCTGCGTTTGGCGGCGCCCCAGCTCACCGAACCTGCGAATTGGTGGCTATGTATGCATGCATGCATGCATGCAGGTAGTTCTGTATGTCTGTCTGTATGTATGTATGCGTACATGCACATACATACATGCATGCATGCATCCATCTATGTGTACACACATACAGACACACACACACACACATATATGTCGGCGGTGCGCCGTGGCACGAACCCCCCCCCCAGCACTACCGGGGGGTTTCGTGCACTACCGGGGGGTTTCGTGCAGCCCGCACCGGGTGCCGCCAGCGGCTTAGAACACCCCGTTGCCGCTTCACCGGGGGGTTCGTGCAGGCCGCATTGGGTCCTCGCCTGTCGCTTTACCGGGGGGTTTCGTGCAGGCCGCGCTGCGTCTACCTGGGCTCCCCCCCCCCCCCTGTGGGAGTGTGGGAGTGGGGGGGTGGGAGTGGGGGGTGGGTTGGGGGGGGGCAGGGGGGAGGAGGAAGGGAGGAGGAGGAGGAAGTGAGGCGTGTGAGGAGTGTGTTCTCTATTCGGTCTGAGGAGGGAGGTTCCGCCGCAGCCTCTCGTATTGTGGCTCGTGGCCACAATACGAGAGGCTGCGGCGCAACTCCCAAGAGCCGCTGTGGGGGGTCGACGGCACGGCCGCGTAGAGAAGAAGCACGGCCCTGGGATGCAATGCCGCCGCCGTGTTCCGGCCCGTCCTGGTAAGATTCGCGCGTCGGGGCTGGGTTCGCGCGTGCTGGGAGCGCGCCGCTTACGGAGGGGTTGCGTCCTTACCGGGGGGTTTCGTGCAGCCTACCAGAGGAGGTCGTGTTTACCGGGGGGTTTCGTGCAGGCTCGCACCGGGAATGGCGCCAGCTCGAAACCCCCCAGGAGAGATTACCGGGGGGGGGAGGGTCGCTCCGCACCGGGCACCGCCGACATATATAAACATACATATACGCATACGCTCATATACACAAACGTCAATCCATAACTGCGTGCGTACATACATACAAGTGTATACATATCTACGTGCATCCACACATACATACATACATACATACATACATACATACATACGTACATCCATCCATCCATCCATCCATCCATACATACATACACACATACGTACATATATACATACACTCAATCATACATACATACATACATACATACATACATACACACATGCATGCATGCATGCATGCATGCATACATACATACATACATACCTACACACATACACACATACACACATACACCCATACATACATACATACATACATACATACATACATACATACAGGCGTTCGTACAAACACACATACATACATACATCCATACATGCATGCATGCATGCATGCATGCATGCAGACATACATGCACACATACACAAATACACATACACACATACATACATACATACATACATGCATACATACATCCAGACACATACACACATACGTACGTACGCACGTACATCCATCCATCCATCCACGTTTACTCATATATACATACGTACGCACGTACACCCACCGATATACATGCAATCATCCGTACATGCACACGTACGTCCGTACGTACGTACGTACACGCATGCGTACATGCATGCATACATTCGTATACACATATGAGTGCACCAATCTATTTGATTATGTCCACGTGTGAATCTATGTATTGATACGCGTGTGATCACACACATACACACATTTATGTATATATATATATACATATATGTATATATATATATACAGATATTGGAGTGGGAGGGGAACCTCCTCCCCTGTCTCAGTGAAGGCCTCGGGCGCTCTGCGTAGAGCTTTTCCCGAGGCCTCCAGAAAACCCAGAAAGGACAGCACGCCTGACGAGGCCTCGACTCTTCGCCACCTCCCTCCTCCCAGCCACCCGGCGGCTCCATTTGTTCGAGCCCCCGTTGTCGTCGTGGCGGGAGGGGGGGGCTCCAGGGTTGTCGTCTGCAGTCCGGCGGCCGCTGCCCGGCCCGGCCACCAGAGTCGACCTGCCGAGTGGGGGGTGGGTGGCCTTGGTCCAGCAGCCGTCGCGGGGCTAAGAGGAAGTTGCGCGAGGGGGGGGGGAAAGGAAGGGGAGGAGGGAGCTTCCCTCCCTCCCTCCCTCCTTCCCTCGTTTTCTTTTCTCTTCCCACCATGTCCTCCCGCCCGACCACCCCCCGTCCTCTTCCCCCCCCCTCCCCCTCATAGCCGTCCCAGGGTGCGTTCTGACCAAGCTTTCGAGGCGGATCCAGCCGTAGCGACGAGGAATGTCCCAGGGGGTTACGAAGGGTGAGATCCGCCCAACGACCTTGATCGTTGAACCTCGAACCTCGAACCTTCTCTTCCTCCTCCCCCTGCTCCTCCTCCACCTGGTCACCCTTCGTTCTCCTCCTCCGTTCTCCTCCTCCTCCTCCTCCTCCTCCTCCACCCTCGCTCCTTTCCTCTCTCCCTCCTCCTTCCCTCCTTCCTTCCCTCCTTCCTCCTTCCCTCCTGAATCCTCCTCCGTCCTCCTTTTCCCTCCCCTACCCCTCCTTTTCCCTCCCTCCTCACTCCCTCCCCTATACTCCTCCTCTCCCTCCTCCTCCTCGTCCTCCCTCCCTTCTCCCTCCCGCGTCCCTCCCTCCCGCTCGCACGGGCCGCTGGTCTTCGACTGGCGACGACAGGTTTCGTTCGTTCGTTCGCTCCTCCCCCAATCCTTTTCTTTATGAATGAGTCAGGAGGGAAAGAAACACACAGACACAATGAATCGTCGATTCCCCAGAAAATATGGGGAAATACGGGAAGTGAGGGGGGGGGGAAAACAGAGACACAGAAAATAGGGGGGACTATGGGGAATCCTGTCATTTGTGTCCATTCATTGGTGTGTCCCAGGGCCCCTTCATGTTTTTCTTTGCGGACGGGTCCAGGCCGCCCTCCTCTGTGTCGCACCACCAGACGTGTCCGCCGGCCAGGCCAGGCGTGTCGCCGGAGATGTCCTGGCGCACGTCACGTTGTTCGCCGGATGGGGCTCCCAAGAGAGTGCGTTCCCGGACATCGGATTGTGGTGCAGCACGTGTGGCCCAAGCCGTGTAGAGCAATCCCTCTACTCGGGAGCGGAAAAGAGGGGGGTGATGACTAGGGGGGGGTGGATTTCATGGCGCGGGCCATGATTTTTCCCCAGATTTCATGGCGCCTCTTCTTATTTCATTACGTCCCTGGCCTCCCCGCTGGGCCGCGCACATGCCGCCGGTCATGATTTGCACCCCCCCCTCTTGGACACCCCCTTCTTGGCCGCTCCCGAAAGCTGTGTAGAGCAATCCCTCTACGTGGTGCTCACCATGTGGTGCAATCTGGGTTGTGTAAGCTGGGTGGTGCAGTCTTTGTTGTGCAGTCACTCTTGTGCAGTCTGTGTGGTGCAGTCGATGTGATGCAGCATCGGTGGTGCACTGCAGGTGGTGCAGTATATGTGGCGCATCCTATGTAGTGCAATCTATGTGGTGCAATCAATTTCTGTTCGCAGTGAGTTGTCCACTCCACTGCTCGCGCAAGCATCCAACCCACCCACCCGCAACTTGGTTTGCAAAACCAACTAAGACCGTGACGGTGGGTACCAAATGGCACTTGGCAACGACACCGACGCCGACGACGACAGCGACAACGACGACGTCGCCGCCGACAACGACTACGACGACACCGACGACGTCTCCAACGACTTCGACGACGCCGACAACGACGACGACGACGACGACGACGACACCGACACCGACGCCGACGCCGACGCCGACGACGACGACGACGATGACGACGACGACGCCGACGCCGACGACGACGACGAAGACGACGACGACGACGTCGCCAACGAAGACGAGGACGAGGGAGGAGGGAGGACGACTACAGCGGCAACGACGACAACGACGAGGGAGGAGGGAGGATGGCGACGACGCGAACGACGAAGAAAGGGGGAGGACGGCGACGCCGACGACGACAACGACGAGGGAGGAGGGAAAACGACGACGGCGACGACGGCGACGAAGTAGGAGGGACAACAACGAAACGCCGACGAAGACGATGAGGAAGGAAGGACGACCGCGGCGACAACGACGACGGAAACGACGACCATGCCAAGACGACGACGACGAGGAAAGACAGAGGACGACGACGGCGACGACGGAGACGACGACGACGACGAGGGAGGAGGGAGGACGGCGACGACGACGATGACGCAAGAGAGTGCGCGCTCGCTTTTGTTGAAACGCCGTGTTGCGAAACCCTGTGTTTTTGTATGTGTTTTGGACACTCGATTTTGACATCTTTCCGAAACCGAAGGTTTCTGAAGGATTTCGGCATGCGCCGCGACGACGCGCGCGTGCGCACTTCGTCCCATTTTTGCAGAGGGTTCTCGCGACGGCACGCGTGCAAGGGCGTTCGAAAGATTTCGACATGCGCGCGCGCGCGAAGCCCGTTTGGTCGTATTTCTGGGAAATCTTGGGAAACCTATGGTTTCCTCAAGATTTCGCAAGAGCGCGCGCGTAAATTTTTTGAGCAAATCAGTGTTGCGAAACCATGTGTTTTTTTTGGTATGTTTTTTGGAAATTCGATTTGGAAATCCTTTCGATATCGAAGGTTTTTGAAGGATTTCGGCATGCGCGCGCGTCGACGCGCGCGCGTGTGCACTTCGTCAATTTTTTTTGCAAGGGGCTCGTGAAAACTTATGACATTTGATAAACAAGTGTGCGCGCATAGCATTTTTTGCAAAGGATGGCGGGGGGGGGCGGTACCGGTTTGGCTGGGATCACATGAACTCGCAGGTAGGATGGACGATGGGGCAGAGTCATATGTAATTGCAATACGAAAAGATGGCCCGTTAACTCCGGGGGTGGGGTAGAGTTTATTCTGTTTTAGAACGGAGAATCGATGTGGTGCAATCGCTGTCGTGCAATGCGTGTGGTGCAGTTTGCGCAGTGAGCGATCAAGAAGCGCGCCGCAGGCGCGACATCTTTCCCGTGCAATCTATGTGGTGCAATCCACCGGCGGCGACGGGTGGAGACCAGGCGGCGACGGGGCGGCGACGGCGGCAACATAGCAGCCAGACCGATCACATGGCCCACACGACGGGTGGCGACGAGGCGGCGACGCGGCGGCGACTGGGGGGGCGACGGCGGCAACATAGCAGCCAGACCGACCACACGGCCCAGGTCATTAGAGGAGAAGTGAGACAACCCAAGTGCAAACATTGTCTGGAGACTTCAGGCAGCTTCAATCGTTTCAAGCATGGAGGGTCAGTCGTTTTCAAAATGTAGCTCTCGCCTCAGCGCCGTGCACATTCGTCCTAAAAGCTTGTTTCAGTCACGCGGATAGAGGGCGTTGATTTCCGAACTGCAACCCTTGCTTCAGCGCCGCACGCATTCCTGTTAACAGCTTCCAGCAGTCACGAGGATGGAGGCCAGTTCGTTTTCAAAAGTAGTATCTCACGTGGGAGTTCGTTGACTTCCATGGCCCGAAGCTCGTCACTGTGCAACAGTCACATGGACGGAGGGCGGTTCCTTTTCAACATGGGGCTCTCGCTCCAGACTTCGCAGCTTTTTAGACCAGGCATCTGAAGCAGTGTATCACTTACACGGACCGACACCCTTGTCAGCACAGGGCTATCTTTTCACATTTTCTGAAACTTTAGCATCCTACAGGTTTGCGTGTCTTCGAGATAGAAGGATGTTGGGCCGATCCTTTACAACGCGTTTTTTGTCTGGTTTTTGTTTTTGTTGTTGTTTTTGTTTTTTGTTGTTGATCGAGTGGCAGGCCCAACGGGTGGTGGTCGTTAAGTGGGGCACTTGCCGCAGTGAAGAGGAAGACTTGTAGGGATTCTTGAAGAGGTGACCTGGGTCGGGAGGGTGCGTTGCATCATCGTTGATGCATTCTGGGTTGATCTTCTCCCTTCTCCTCCTCCTCCGCTCTTCTTTTCTCCCTCTATCACTCTTCCCTCCTTTTCCTCCTCCTCCTCCCCCCCTCCTTCGCTTCCCTTCCTCCCTTTTCCTCCTCCTCACTCTCCTCCTTCGTCCTCCTTCCTCCTCCTTCCCCCTCCTTCCTCCTCCTCCTCCTCCTCCTCCTCCTCCTCCTCCTCCCTCCTCCTCCGCCTCCTCCTCCTCCGCCTCCTCCCTCCTTCTCCTCCTCCTCCACAACTGCACACTATGAATACTACTCTCCTTTCTCTCCTGATGACGTCCCGAAGGTGTCCAGCCCCCCTCCGCATATTTTTTTGAAACAGGATTCCCGGGAAATGCGTTTTCGTTTGGTTTTTTGCCAAAATGTTGCCCCCATTTCTGCGCCCCTGGTTGTTCGAAAACGTACTCCCGCGGCAGTGCGGGCCCCAAAATCTAAAAAATGGTCCCCTGGAAAAACCATTGGAAGTGATTACACATTCGGCGTCGATTCGCAGAACCCCCCCCACTTTGGGGCGTCGTCGGTTTCAGAAAGGATCAAGCGGGAACCCCGTTTCTGCTTTGAGAAAGCGATGTCGAGAGCCAGCGGGTGCTCTCCATCAGCCCTGCCTTGTGTGGAGCTTTTCGGGGAGCCCAAGGAGCTAGACATGGAGCCACGACTCCAGACCGGCCCAGACCTCTCGAAGACGATCCACTTACCCTTCAAAGAACCCGACGCCATGCCATGACATGCTGTGCGGTGTTGTATTCTGCGCCGCTGTGCGATGCCATGCTTTGCGTTTCAATGCTTTGTGATGCAATGCTTCGCTGCGCAACGCCATGCCACGCTATGGCATGCTACGCTCTGCCGTGCTCTTCTATGCCATGCCATGCCGCGATCGTTGCCCTGCTCGACGTCCTACTGTGCGACTAGAGAAGATATATCTACGCCATGGTAATGGATGGGAGGGAGGGGCCTCCTCCTCCTCCTCCTCTTTCCCTCTCCTCCTCCTCCCCCTCCTCTCCTCTCACCCCCCCCCCTCCTCCTCCTCCCCTCCTCCTCCTCCTCCTCCTCCTCCTCCCCTCCTCCCCCCTCCTCCTCCTCCTCCCCTCCTCCTCCTCCTCCTCCTCTCCTCCTCCTCCTCCTCCTCCTCCTCCTCCTCCTCTCCTCCTCTCCACCTCCCCTCCACCTCCTCCTCTCCCCTCCTCCTCCTCCTCCCTCCTCCTCCTCCTCCTCCTCCACCTCCTCCTCCTCCTCCTCCTCCTCCTCCTCCTCCTCCTCCTCCTCCTCCTCTCCCCCCTCTCTCCTCATCCCTTCTCCACCTCCCCCCTCCTCCCCTCCCCCCCTCCTCCTCGCCCCTCCCTGGCCGTGCCGCGGCGGCGAGGCGCGGGGGCGCGCCCGCGGAGAGGGGAGGGCGCCTGCGGCTCCTGCTGGGCCGTGGCCACGGCGCCTCCTCCCCGCCGCCGCCGCGGCCGCCGCCGCCCTGCGCACCAGCACCTCGGGGGGGGGGGGACGGCGGCCCCTGCCCCGGCCTTGCCCATCTTACAGCCGGGGCGCTGAAGAAGGAACCCTTTCCGTTGGAGAGGGGCTCCGTATTCCTTGATTGCCTTGCAGTTTTCCTCGGCTTTTCTAAAAGGTTTTCCATGGGAAATCGAAGTTCAGCTCAAGGGAAAGAGGGGCCTCGCTCCTTACTTAGGGTTCCTTCGGTCAACGCCCCGACTGTAGGTGCTCGTTTTTGGGGCCTTCCTGGGGCCCACCAGGCGGATCTGCTCGACTCCAGGTCGGCCCCAGCACGGCGCAAGCTCGATTCGAGCTGGACTCAGGTTCGGCTCAGGTTCGACTCAGGTTCGACGGACGTGCGACGCAGCTTCGACGCATGAGCGGAGCGAGTGTATCCAGGAAGGTCCCCAGAATGAGCATCCAACCCCGCTGCCCCCGATCTTTCCCAGCCATTGTGCTGCTTTCCGTTGTCCATCCAATTTCTTCCATTCGGTCTTCTTAGGAGATCAGCATTTTCCCTGTCCCCTGCTCGTGCCTCGGCCCCACGAGGAACCAGAGCGGGGATGTGGATGATTTCGTGGCCTCGGAGGTCACGGTTTTTCGTCCATGCCCTGCTCCCCCTGGCGCCCAGAGTGGGGGGCAGCAGCAGGGGCTATAGATCGATCGTCGATCGTCGACTCGCGCCCCACCGCCCACAGCTTGTCTCCGGCCCTGGTGCTGCTCCCGAGCCGTCGAGGTCCGCGGCTCGGCCTGGCCTTGCCCCCCAATCCTTCCCCCGGCCCGGGTGCCGCCCCTCGTTGCTGCCAGTCTCCTTGCGTCGACCCCGTTCCCGAGTCGGCGGCGAGATCCAAGCCCCGCCCTCGCCGATCCGTGATCCATGCATCTCGAGGGGCGGCGGGGGTACAATACTCAGGAGGAAACAAAACACACAGACACCATTCATCGTCGATTCCACGGAAAATATGGGAAAATAGGGGAAGTGGGGGGAAGACAAAAACCCAGAAAATATGAGAAAATATTGGGACTCCTTTAATTCGTGTGTATTTCCCCAATCAGAGCTTGCCTCTGTAGGGGTCCTAGCGGACAAGAGGCACGCGTGCTCCGGCTCTTGCGCAGTTATGAGGAGGAAGGAGGAGGAGACGCAGGTGGGGGGATCGAGGAAACAAAAAGGAGGAGGAGGAGGAGGAGAAGGAGGAGGAGGAGGAGGAGGAGGAGGAGGAGGAGGAGGAGGAGGAGGAGGAGGGGCAGTTGGGGCCAGGGCGCCCCGGCGCTGAATCAGCGGTTGTTGATTGGGATCTGCTCGAATGAGTTTTTGTTGGCAGCTGAGGCGCGATAGATTTTCGTGGCCGGGCCAAGTGGGGGGGCTGGGCCCAGGGACAGGACCAGCGGGGCGAGGGGGGCCGGGGCAACGACCAGGGGGTTGGGCTGGGTCCAGCGCCAGGACCAGGGGGGCAAGGGCGGCTGGGGCCAGGTCAGGGAGGGAGGCTGGCCCCAGGGCCGGGACCCGGACCAGGAAGGCGACGACGAACGAGAATAGAGGGTCCGGCGAAAGGGGGGCTGGGTCCAGGGCCACGGCCAGGGGCACGACGACGAGCGAGAATGAAGGGTCCAGGGAGAAGGGGGCCAGGGCCAGGGCCAAGGGAGGACGCTGGATCCAAGGACAGGACCAGGGCGGCGACGACGAGGGGGTCTGGGTCGAGGACCAGGGCGAAGGCTGGGTCGAGGGCCGGGAACCAGGGGGGCGAAGACAAACGAAAATAAAGGGTTCGGGGCGAGGGGGACTGGGGCCAGGGCCAGGTGAGGAGGCTAGCGCCGTGCCGAAATGAAAGGGCCGGGGCGGAGGGGGCGCGCTGGCTGGCGGGGGGGCGCGGAGGGGGCGCGTGGGAGGGGGGGGGCGTGTCGAAATAAAAGGGTCGGGGCGGAAGGGCGCGCGCTGGCTGGCGGGCGGGGAGATGGTGGCGCGGGCGCGGGGGGGGGGGGAGGGAGCGCCGTGCCGAAATTAAAGGGTCCGGGGCGGAGGGCGCGCGCTGGCTGGCGGGTGTGGGAGCGCGCGGGGGTGGGCGCGAGGGACAGGAGGGGTGCCGTGCCGAAATAAAGGGGTCGGGGCCCAAGGGTGCGGAGGGGTGTGCGGAGGGGTGTGCCGTCCCCAAATAAAGGTGTCGGGGCGGAGGGGTGTGCCGTGCCGAAATAAAGGTGTCGGGGCCGAAGGGGCGCGCTGGCTGGTGGGTGGGGGGGGGGGGGGGGGGGGGCTAGCGGATTAAAGGATTAGGTGAGAGGTGCGGCCGACTTCGGTGGCCAGGCCCGGGTGCCCGGGTGCCCGGGTGCCTGGGTGCCCGGCGGTGCCCGGGTGCCCGGGTGGCCGGTGAGGTTGGTCGCCGATTTCGGTGGCCGGGCCCGGGTGCCCGGGTGCCCGGGTGCCCGGGGTGCCCAATAGCCCAATAGCAAATAGCCCAATAGCCCTATAGTTTTATGGCCCCATAGCCCTACAGCCCTATAGCCCTATAGCCCTATAGCCTTATAGCCCAATAGCCCTATAGCCTTATAGCCCGATAGCCCCATAGCCTTATAGCCCTATAGCCCTATAGCTCTACAGCCTTGTAGCCCTATAGCCTTATAGCCCAATAGCCCAATAGCCCAATAGCCCTATAGCCTCATAACCTTATCCGGTGTCACTGGTGTGTCATTATTTGTGTGTTCCAGGGCCCCTTCAGTACAGGGTTCGGAGTTCGTCGAACACGTGGCGCAATCCGAGCACCAACCCCGCCTCCCATCGGTTCAGGAGAATCGATGGTTGGCGGGTCAGGGTTCGGGTGTCGCCACTTAAAGTGGGGACCCGTGCCAAGAAACACCCTGCTTGCCTCCAGGGTGCCCCGGGTTTCCTGGGCTGCGATGGTTTTGCTGTGGAGGGCGCGACGTTCCCACACCAAAAGTCAGCGGACGTCCTGTGGTCTCAGGGTTGGCTTTCTCGTGGATGGTTTCCTGTGGACTAGCCTCCACCGTGATCAGATTGAGCTTCTGCGGTCCGCTCTTTCTGGGGGGCCGTGGGGCGGTTTCGTGCCTCCCGCTCAGGGCTGGGTTCCCCGTGGACCAGCCTCCACTGTCATTCGACTGAGGCTCTGCGGCCCGCTCCTTCATGGGGGGGACGTGGGGCCGTCTCGCGCCGCCCGCTCGCGCTCCTCCGAGCAGTGCCGACGGCGAGGGTGCCTGCCTGATGGGTGGGCAGGCGGGTGGGGACAGGACCCGCCGCTGGCGCGAGTGGAGGCGGCGCCTCCGCGCCACTGCGGCCCACCACGCAGGACGAACGGTCGGCCCAGCACAGTCACGGCGCTTGGCCCCCCGCTTGCTTCCCACCCTCACACCTTCCGCCCGACGGTCCCGCGTCGCCTTCCCGCCCGCGCGGCCCCGCCCCCTCTCCCAGCCGAGGTAATCGCCAGCGGAGGCCCACCCTACTGTCATCGAGGACACGAGAACCCCTAACCCTAACAACACGATGGAGACGTGGCCTCACTTAGGTCCCCGCCTTCGCGTTAGGGGCAATACATCTGGGCGGTTTGGTCTGATAATCTGCAGAAGGGACCCCTGTATCCCTACTCAGTAGGGATACGGGGTCCCTACTGCTTTGGCCCTGCTGACTTCGGTCCCCTCCCACAGGTTTTGGGGTACTTCTATTGCTTATCCTACTGGCAGGATGGCGAACACTGTGAGTGTTCCCAGCTTTTTCGGCGTTCTCGGCCTCCGCTGGAGGCCTTCCAGGAGGCCTCTTGGGCCATCTTGGGCGGTCGCAAACCCCAAAAGAGCGGGAACCTTGCATCTTCAGATTCCTTGCGCCATTAAAAAAACATCTTCGAAATCCTGGAGCACACGGTTCTGCCTCGTCGATCTCTCTCGGAGGGCCTCTCGGAGCCCGCCTGGGCCGTCTTGGAGGTCTCTGGGGCTGCCTTGGGGCCGCCTTGGGAGCCTTTTCTGACTGGTCCCGGGGGCCGCCTGTGTGAATGGAACCCGTGTAATACCCTCATATTTACTCCTTATCCTTACCTCTCCCGCACCTGGCCGTTTGGGCTCAGGTACTGAGTTGGAGCGATCGTACCTAGATCGCGTGGGAGGGAAAGATATCCATCTATCCCTCCATCTCTCTACCAACGGATCAGGGGTTCTGTACCCTTGTACTTCAACCCCATACACAGGTTATCAGCCCTTTAAAGCTCACCCTCACCGACTCGCCCGCGGTGACCTCGCATGCGAGCCTGATGGAGCCACTTCGGCGCATGCGCCGCAAGGGTTCCATCGGCCCTTCGCGTCCGAGCTCTCCCACGGCCCGACGGCTCGGTGACGAGTTGGAGAGCATTAGTGCGGACTGTGTTGGTGTTCCAGATACCCCCCCCAGCTCCCAAGGACCCGAGGCGCGACTAGCTGCTGAACTTCGCCGCAGCGCCGCCCGCGGGGGGACAGGAGAAGGAGTAGGAACAGGAAGGAAGGAGTTTCACACGCCGACCTTCGATCCTCCCTCCCCTTCCCCGTCGGGAGCAATCCCAACCGCGTCAGGCGAAAGCCTTACCGGTCTCGATACTCCAGGGCGCTTTCGCGCTAACCGCCGATGGACCTCAGGTGCTGGGACCCCCAGCCCTGCGACCGTCCCTGTGGCGGAGCACGTAGCTACCTTCGAGGAACTCAGTAGACCAGTGTCGGCACAGCCACAGACGCGGTACCCCAAGGTATCATCGGATGAGACACCACACACACATGGTCCGAGTCGCAGCTCGTCCGCGCGCAACCGCCGTGGAGCCCCAGGCCCATGCGGCGAAAGCAGGTCGAGCCCGCGCACTGCCTCTCAGAGGCCATGCACTCCCCGCGACAGGGGACACAGGGAAGCTGACGCTCCCCACCTCTCCATCTCAGACGACCAGCTGGCGGAGACGTCCGCCGCAGGTGACATAGCTGAGCTCAGA